CAACTAGCAGACCGTATGTAATACGTCCGTGACTTCGGTTATAACAAAGTAAACTTCCATTGTTAATATGGCTAAATAGCGCTGATTTAACACAGTTTTAAATATTATCAGTAACAACTAAAACACTATTAACGTCTCACTGATATCCATATTTTGTTGACATTGAAAATTTTGAAGAAAAGTACAAAAAGCTTACCTTCTTGCATAGGAACCTTGTCTGTGCGTGGATCAACTCACAGTCAAGATGGCGATTTTCAAGCTTCATGTAGTACACTAAACAGTCACAATGTAGAGCCTACTGTCAATAACTACAAAATAATGGAGGTGGCCCATCGAAGGAGCCGGCCCATCGATAGCAACCTTACCCTACAATTGCAATTTAACGCCGTAATACTTGAAGTGTCGGATATACGAGTACCTACTCACTCAGTTCTCTGTTAAGCTTATGACCAGTTCAGAAGCTAATAAATAATGTACACAAACTTATTACTGTGATTGAGAAGAAAGCAGTCTTCTGGGATTTGGTACCGGGTATATGTGGTGTTAACCGACGTTTCGGAGGAACGTATCGCCTCCATCTTCAGGGTAGAAGGAAAAATATAAGAAATCCGCAAGCGAAGAGACCGTGAGAACCGGTAAAAGCGGTCTCTTCGCTTGCGGATTTCTTATATTTTTCCTTCTACCCTGAAGATGGAGGCGATACGTTCCTCCGAAACGTCGGTTAACACCACATATACCCGGTACCAAATCCCAGAAGACTGCTTTCTTCATAGTCACCACCGTGAAAACCTCAAATCTTACTTACTACTCTGATTACCTGAATTTTGACAGTTCTCGGGATATGCCAATATTTTCCACGTGTTTCTCATATACAGTGTCACAGGGATCATAAATCCAGAGCACAGGGAGGAAAAAGAAAGAAACACTAGGAAAAAAAAAAAGGAAACCATTTCTTTGACAGATTCCGATACTGATATGTCGAATCCATGGAAATAATGACGGGGAATAGTCAGTGCAAAGCTTATGCGCATATAGAGGCCGGGTTTTATCAAAGGAATAGGAACACGTTTAATTGTTCATGATAATAATCAAGCATTGTAACACAAATTGTATGTAACTTTACAAAGCAGAGCTGACTTTGCATTTTGCTTTCATGCCATCTATATGCAACGTCGGTTACTATTCACTCGTCGTTCTCTTTTTCACTACATGTTTCGGCCTAACCGGCCATCTTCAGGTGTACAGGTTTTTGTCATGAAGGAATCCGCCCAGGAACACGCAAACAAAACAGTTGGTTAACCCCTATACGTACAACAAAACAAACTCCGTGATTTTAGTCCGCAAGCGGACTATACCGACCGAGCGACCGCCGCTTCTCGGCAAAGTTAGTGCCATTTTTTTGCGAATAGAGGGTGTCACGTGGTCAGCACGACGAATCCCCACGGCCGTTAATTTCGGTTTTCTAGACAGGAGCCGCTCTTTCCTTGAAATAGCTCTCAATTATCATATCGAGGCTGAGTGGACCCCGTTCAAGACCCAATGCTTCTCAGAAAATCTGGTAGAGCCGGGAATCGAACCCGGACCTCTGGACCTGTAGCCAGGAAGTCTGACCACTAGACCACAGAGGGAGCGGTTAACCCATATAACCACATGTAATCCGAGGCAATTACATAAGAAGAATAGAACAGCATTACAACGAGCAGCGGATTCCTTCATTACAAGAACATGTACACCTGATGATGGCCGGTTATGCCGAAACATGTAGTGTCAATAAAAGAACGATGCGTGAATAGTAACCGACGTTGCACATAGACGGCATAAAAGCTAAACGCAAAGTCAGATCTGTGAAGTGCAATAGAATGCTGCAATATAACATTTCACAGAGCAGGCCTATAAAATTTATACTTCAGAACGGTTCAGAGCCATTATGAACAATATAATGGGTCCATATTGTGTTGTTTCTTATTAAATGTGCTTTTTTCAATCAAAATCATTGTTAACCGTAAATGACAGAATTCAAACATCTGCATTACAATTACGAATACAAAACTGATCATGCTGATGTCATAGGACAACTGAAAATTAAGCTACACCCACAGAAGGACTTCCGGTTTGACAATCCATATAATTTTTTCTTTCAGCCTTTTTAAACTCTTTATTCTATAGAACTTGCATATTGTGAATGACATGCAAGTTATTTGTCAGCACTTTTTAGTTCTTTGGGAACTTAACTGTTTGTTCTTACTTTTGTTTACCACAGGGTCCACTATTCATAAGTTACCCTCAACGTAACAGTTAGTACTAATTAGAGGAGTGTGAAATTGTACTGGTGAAAACTTCCATCTTAACCAAAACGTCATTTAGCAAAGGCTTTAACGAACAACATAAGCAAGATACATCTACTGACTAAAAGTTAATGTTACGTAATAATATCAGTGAACCTACGGTGTCAACAAACCAATATTCCGAGCGGGGTTCGAAGCCGTGAGTATACTGTTTATATGGGATAAGACAGCGCGAGCCTTAAACACCATAATGGCTATATTATTACTCAGTTAAAACAAAAATATCGATTACTGTAACAGTGCGCTCAAACAAAGGAGGCGAGGGAGCGACTCTAGTATATTATGACGTATGGACCCACTTCTAGGCAAAGCCCGAAAAACACACGCGGTCAACAATACTGGAGCAGTGCTTTCTGTGTTCCGCACACGGACTGTTTCTATGCAGCTCGCGCTGGCACGTTCTCGCGTACACGGTGACGTCATACAACAGTGGAGAGGTGTTTTCTGTGATGCATGGTCCGTGTCGCGTCTATATAATTGAGCCGAATTCCGAGGATAGCAGCTGTAGGAGCAGAGAAGAGTCAAGAGAATGGGAATACAACGGCGTATAACGGAGATTAGATAATTGGATCTGTGAGTTCAGAAGCTGTAGGAGTACAGAGCAGTAGGCGGAAGAGCACTGGGTCGAGTCTTCGGAATTGGCAGCTGCAAGAAAATGTAAAAAAAAAATCAGACTGTGCCAAGAAGACGCCATGTGTAGGTTGAAGTGACAGTGATACTGTGATATATCCGTTGCCAGGATACGACCAGTGAAGACTGAGAATCCTGGTGGGTGTGCGACGGTGTTCTATAAATTGTGTAAATCAGCGATAGCGCTGTATTGCTTGTAAGTACGACTTGTGTGAATAAGGTGTCAATACACGTGGTAATAAGTATATCGTTGCTCCATGCTCTTGTACTACGTTGTTGTACATGAAACTTAGCATTCGACTTTAAATTTTTACACAGTTTAGAAACTCCCATCATCATGCATCCGTTACAAATTTAATGACTGCTCTTATACTATCATTAACAGACAGAACACTCCACACTGAAGGAAGGCAATTTTATGATTTTATCATGACAATATTTTATCAAATCTTCAGAAAATGTGGTTCTAAAGATGAGTTTGAAGTATGAAACGTGATGATGTCAACATTCAACCTATAATAATTAGAACCAAACCAAGTTTTGCCCTAATTTTTGGATGGATTTAACGTACGTTAGGAAGAATATACACCACACACACAAGAAAATGACCTCTGAGCCTACATTACACATTTCTTGAGAAAGGTAAACAGAAACGTTCCGAAGGACGTTTAATACATTTCGTGTCGGGTTTCGTATTGGATTCCGAGATTTCAGTATATACGAGTATGTGACATCAAGTAGACTAAAAAAATTATGTAAAATTTGAGGTTTTCAAGGCGGTGACTATGAAGAATGCCGTCTTCTGGGGCGTGGCGCCGTGTAGACCTTGTGTGAACCGACATTTCGGAGGAATGTATCGCCTCCATCTTCAGGTGGAGATACGTTCCTCCGAAATGTCAGTTCATACAAGATCTACACGGCGTTACAACCCAGAAGACGGCATTCTTCTAGAAAATTATAGATTTTCAGTGTTTCTAGCTGTAAT